TAGAAGTGGCTTTTTACAGTTAACCTGATGTTTAGACTGACTTTATTAGTTGACGTAATACTGTGAGAAAGACCAATAGTGAATTTTTAGACAAATAATAAAAGTTGTCGGAGGATTTCATGACATACAAAGATCGACTCAATCTGTTATGCTATTTCCAAACATAGCATTTGCATTGATAAGAAGTCTAATTATCCTGACCAAAATTGGCTAAATATCAGTCAAAAAGGGTGACTTTTAGCACTCAGAAAAATTGTGCGTTTGACTAAAGTGTTTCCCGTAGAAATTAATTTCAAAGCAATTGTACAGTTTTGCAGCGGATACTTTAACATTTTTCTTCGGTACCATAGGAAATTTCATATGTTGAATATTGCGATAGAGATTTGTTTAGGTTTGGTGAGAAAAAGACTCTCTTATTTTTGCGCAAGTTATTCTATTAGTAAAATTGTTGTTTGACGCACTTGCAAACTCAGTCATGTCCAAACATGTGTTCTGTTCATCAAATCGTATATTACAGAAATAAAAATCCTTACTAAATCTAGATATTCTTACGAGGGAACTAGTCAAACTGATATCCGCCGTTTGAGCTCATATTGGATTCATAAGTAGGTCTCGATAAGACCAGAGAAACCTTAAAAGATTTCGTCCCCATAGGCTTCTGGAGTCAAGTTACAACCGTTTTACTGAATTTTTGGTACAGCTTTAGGTATTTACCGAAAGATCGAATAACAGAATTTCGATCTGAAATTTTGTTCATAGATAAGTCTGATGACTTGAGGAATATCCTGAAAGTTTCAATATTCTTTTGTCAAGGTATTAAATATCCCAAAAAGTGGTCGTTTGCTACAAAAATTGAGTTTACTAGATTGTTCAATCTCTCGACAAAAAAATCATTGAAACATTCAAGATATTTCCAGAGTTATCAGACCTATCTATGAACAAAATTTCAGATCGAAATTCCATGATTCGATTTTTCGATAAATACCTAAAGTTGTATCAAAAATTCAGTAAAACGGTCATAACTCAGTCCCAGTGGCATATGGAGACGAGATCTTTTAGATTTTTTCTAGTCTTAGCGAGATCGTCTTATGAACTCAAACGGCGTGTATCAATTCAGGTAGTTTCCTTGTTAGCGATTTTCTTATGATTCAAAAAGGCGTAGAGGATGCAGAATTTTTTTTTTGTTTATTCTTATAACAAAATCATTTGAGTAACATTGTGTACCAAAGAATCAGCATGAAATTTAGAAAAGGTTTGTTAAAGCATAATAATATAGGTTACCAAAAACCTTTGACCTGCAACATTCTATAGGTTAACTTGGATTCCTACTCTGCTTCATCGTTTTTCTTTCATCTCAGCTAATAGATTTATGCTAGAACAAAACGCGGTATATTTTGTATGAATTTCTTTATTTGTTATTTGACCAACAAAGAAAAAGAATGATTAAGTATTATCTTTTTTTTATTACAATAAATTAAAATTTAATACAACTGGTCTGTGATCTGATGATAATGTTGGAACGACTTGAATTTTACAATTGAATTTTATTTGTTCAGGAAAGTTTTGACTTTTCAACATAAATATATAATTAATTCGTTTAGATGGACGTAATGATTCAAATGTATAACCATTCATATTGGAAGAATCTATGATTTTTTGACAAAAATCATTTACATTCCATAGATCATCAAATAACGATAGCATAATATTTTTAATTGCATCATCATTTGGAATTGTATTATAATCACCTGTCATCAAAAAATATATGGATTTTTACTAATATTTATTATATTATCAGACATCCATTGAACTATTTGTTTAACTTCATTGAATTGTTGTAAACCATTTAAACCAATACCTAAATGAGTTGTACCAAAATAAATAGATAAATCAATATTATCTTGATATTTAAATGGAATTTCAATCAATATAAAACCTTGACAATAATCGCCTTCTTTTGGTATTACACATTGTTCAGCTGTTGTATTATTATAATGATATGTAAATAAACGTTTTATTGATGTTTGCTTTGATAATATTGATATTCCATAACCACCATTTTGAAAATTTCTCATTTTTTCGAAATGAAAATATTCAAACGATTGTATTTTATTATATTGAGCAATGTATAATGTTTGATCGATTAGATGACGGTCTGTAAAATTATCAACTTCTTGTAAAGCAATAATATCAACATCAAGTTGATTAATAGTTTCAGCAGTTTCTGTTAAATTATAAACATGTGCAAAATGACTACCTGATTGAATATTATATGTTCCAAATCGAATTGATAATGTCGATAGAATACAACTAATTATCAAACCATAATAAGACAAAATGAAAATATTTCATTATTTAATATACAATTGAATAATTCGTTGATAGAATTATTTTATCCTCTAGAAAAAAATTTACTTTAAATAATGTTAAATACGTAAAATATAAAGGGTGTTCCAGAAGTTTTGAAACGATTTTAAAATTTATTGTTCTCACGTTCAACAATATGCAAAATCTTTGAAACTTTGGCAGATTATTGGACATGCTTAGTACTACATAACTACAAAGTTTCAGATCTATAGCTTGTA